TCAAGCCGGCATCCACTATCTATGTTCCACGTAGTCAACACCTCTCACCAATCATCTAACTATTAAAGGTGTCTCTTATCCACGGAACGAGCTTGTCTCTAGTAACTCGTGAACAACTATCTCTCTTTGTACCGAAATTGTCTCTAGTAACTCGTGAACAACTCTCTATTTGTACCAAAAAAAACGAAAAACCTATTACTTCTTTTTAGTAGGATAAATAAAATGTAAAGTGTGATATAATATTATAAGGGCTCAATTAAATCAATAAGTTAAACATATAAAAAAAGAAAAACATACATTAGCTTCCTAATCAAACGATGCAGACGAAGAAGGAAAGGAAAAAAAAAAAGAGAGACATAATTCATGTAAAATGGCATGTGAACACGTTTGTTGAGTTTGACTGGTTCAGTTCGATTTATTAAAGTTCAAACTTGTTAAAAATCTATTTAATTATTGAGTCTGGTTGAGCTTGGTTCGATAAAAGTTAGATATAGTTTAATTTATTAAAGCTCAAGTTCGATTCGATAATATTGACAAACAAGTCAATTTTGAATTTTATTATTGACTCATTTAGTTAACAAATTGAGAGCATAACCAATTCAATGACAATATATTAGACAATTCTTTTAAATTTATGCTTTTTCAAGTCAAAATATTCATTTGGACACAATATTGAGACTAATTTTTATTTAAACTAATTTATATAGTTTTACCAAAGATCCATTGAAATCCATATGGATTGCATTAGAGACTTCGGGGCCAAATTTTGTTCTAAGCTCGATTCAACTATCACATAATTTATAATCTATAAACTATATTTTACCAGCTTGAATTCACTTACTAGGCCTAACTTATTATCTATGTACCTACATATTTCAAATAGACCTATCGAAATACATTTAATTTGCCAACATGGTTGACTCAAGTGGTAAGCAGCTTGATGTCGCTCAAGCAAAGATCTCGGGTTCGAGTATTTGTGAATGCAGAAAACCCTTGTTGGGAGACTCACCCACCACTGACAGGTGTGCGATTCGGATCGACCAACGGATTAGTCGGAGCAAAGCTCCGGATACCGTAACTGGCTAAAAAAAGAAAATACATTTAATTTAATACAATAAAAGAACTCAAAACTGGATAATTGAAAAATAAAATAAAAATAAAAACTATAATATAAAGCACAAAAAAGATACTGAAAATTACAGCACTTTTTTGCAGGCTTGTGGTAAATAACGCACGAACATTTCTCCCATTTGATCTTCATCTCTGCATTCTCGAATCTTTGATTTTTTTATGTTCATTTGAATACAACCAGTCAACTACCATCTACTCTCTCTCCGCACGCGAGCAGCTCAAAAAATGCCGTTTTGCAACGTGGGCGCGTGCGACAGCGACGATGGGCGCGCGCCGAATAGCAGCCGCGGGATCAAGATTTTCTACCGGACCTACGGCCAAGGACCCGTCAAAGTTCTCATGATCATCGGTGACCCATTTGATTCCCCTTTTTTCTCGTTTAAGCAGAAATTGATCTGCTCTTCTTTTTCAAGATGTGTTTTTTTGATCGAGTGTTGTGCGGGCATTTTCGTGCCTTTTTTCGATTGAAACCCAAATGGGCTTTCACCGTTGTTTTCTGCAATTCTTCTGAAATGATTTTTGTGGTGAAATTCTTCAGGTTTGGCTGGGACCCATGATTCGTGGGGCCCTCAGATAAAGGGCCTGGTCAGGACTGTGAATCCGAACGACGATAGGTCACCGGACGCCGGGGATCCGACCGGCGGTGGGGTGGCAGGCGTGGAAGTTTGCGCCTTTGATAATCGTGGTATGGGTCGGAGCTCCGTCCCCACCAAAAAATCCGAGTATACGTGAGTATTAGTGGGAAAAAAAAGCATTTGACAATTTCAATGTTGAAACTTTCTTTTGTGTGTATTTTACTTGAAAAGGTCGAGTCCATATGACACTTTAAGATAAGTTTATTTTGTGTGGGACAAATCAGAGGTTCTTCTTGAAATGAAGATTTTGGATTTGGAAACTTTAGCTAGTTTAGTTAATGGATATTGGATTTTGTATCTTTTGCAGGACTAAAATTATGGCAGAAGATGCAATAGCTGTAATGGATCATTTGGGGTGGGAAAAAGCTCATGTATTTGGCCATTCAATGGGTGAGCAGATCGACTTTGAATTTTAGAGTCTTAGTATATTTCGAGATATTGAATTTAAGAATTTTTATTCTAGGAGATCATTGATTGTTTGTTAGGACTCAGTCAAATGGTTTAAGCTCGTTGTAACTTTCGTTTCAATAATCATAATCTCAAATGTTTCAGCAAAATTACAAAATTCAAAAAGCTCGTTATTCACTTTGAATGACTCACTAGCTGAATTACTTTTCGCAATGTACTTAATTTGTTTCAATAATGCAGGTGGTATGATTGCTTGTAAGCTTGCTTCCATGGTGCCTGAAAGAGTTTTGTCGTTGGCTTTGTTAAATGTTACTGGTGGAGGTTATGAATGCATACCAAAGGTAATGCAATCATGTGGGGGGCCCATTGTTGATCCTATGACATTTTGCAAACTTGTTCAAAGATATAGAAAAAGGATAAATCTCAGAAGTATGTATGGCTCTGCTGTTAGTTGTTTACCGATGTGAATTTTTGTAGAATGTACGAATTTTTTACATTTTAATTTCACGATATTGTTATATTTGTTTGTATCACACATTGATATTTGGGAAAATTTTGTTGCAATGCTCGAAAAGTTGTCATGACTCTGAAGTTTTACCTTTTCTGGTCTGATCACAAGCCGCGGCTTGGCATTGACTGCTAATTTTGACATTCTATGAAATTTTACTTAGATCAGAATTTTCAGTAAATAAAAATACCTGTGAATTATCTTTTCATATTCATTTCAGTTGGATCGTCAAACTTTGTCAATTGCAATGCGGTTTCTGAAGGCTAAAACTCCTGAGCAGAGGGCAGCTGTTGATTTAGATACTCATTATTCACAGGTAAATAATAATTATTATTTTTTCGTGAATTTATAATGACTAAATTTAGGTGGATACTGTGAATTTAGTGAAATCTTTCTTTCGTGTCCTCTACACGCAGGAATATCTTGAAGAGTTAGTTGGACAAAAGACGAGAAGATCGATTTTATACCAAGTATGCAAATGCAAATGCCAAATTATAAACTCTATACATTAGTTTATATACTTAATTCCTGAACATTAAGTATTACCGTTCTTGGCATGTGTTACCTTTTATTTTTGCTCTATTAAACGCTAGACAGCAGCTTGTGCTTGGATACAAATATATCCATTCAATTTTTTTTTTTTTTTTTT